GTTACTGTGGTGACAGGGAAGGTCAAAACCCAGACTCAGAAGACAGTGAAATCAAAGCAGCTACGTTCAAAACCTCACAGAAAAAGTATGAATAGGTCTCAGGACCAAAAAAAACTCCTGGAAGAACTCAAAAATGATTTGAAAAACCAAATCAGAGAGGTAGAGGAAAAATTGGAGAAAATAGTTAGAATGATGCAAGAAAGTCATGAAAAAAGAATCAGCAATTTGATAAAGGGGGTATAAAAAACTTACTGAAGAAAATAACATCTTAAAAAACAGAATTGGCCAAATGGAGAAAGAGATGTCTGAAAAGTAGTTGAAAATGCAAGATTGGAGGTAAGGAGAGAATTTAGGGTTGAACAATTAGATCTGAGAGTAATCTGCATAGAGGTAGTCATTGAAACTGTGGGTGCTGATAAGATCATCAAGTGAAATGGTATAGAGGAAAAAGAGAAGATGGCCCTGGACCGAGCCTTGCACACCCCTAGATGAAGATCCAGCAAAGGAGTCAGGATTGATTAGGCAGGTAAGAGGAGAACTGGAAGAGAGAGCAGTGTCATGAAAACCTAGAAAGAAGAGAGTATTTAGGAGGAGGGTGATCAACAGTACCAGAGGCTGAAGAGAGGTATAAAGACTGAGGATAAAGACTGAGAAAAGGCCATTAGATTTGGCTGTTAAAAGGTCATTAGAGAACAGTTTTAGTTGAATGATGAGATCAGAAGCCAGACTTCAGGGAGTTAAGAGGGTGAGAGGAAAAGAAGGGCAAGCATCTAATGTAGATGGCCTTCTCAGGGAGTTTAGCCACAAAAAGGGAAAAGAGATATAGGATGACAGATAGTAGGGGGGTGGTGCCATGGATAGAGTGCCGGGGCTGGAGTCAGGAAGACTCTTTCTGAGTTCAAATGTGGCCTCAGACACTGGCTGGATGACCCTGGGCAAGTCACTTAATCCTGTTTGCCTCAGTTTCCTTATCTGTAAAATGAGCTGGAGAAGGAAATGGCAAACCACTCCAGTATCTTTTGCAGAAAACTAAAAAAAAGGGAGTCCCAAAGAGGCAGACGTGACTGAAAAATGACTGAACAACAACCGCAACAACTAGTAGGGATGGATGGACCAAGTGAGGGTTTTTTTGAGGATGGGGAGTCACGGGCATGTTTGTAGGCAGTAGAGAAGCAGTCAGGAGACAGCCTGAAGTGACTAGGGATGACCATGAGGGCAGTCTTTTAGAGGAGACAGATTGAAATGGGATCACTCGTGTGAGTAGAAGGGTTAGTCTTGGTAAGGAATGAGGCCACTTCATTTTGTGAGACAGGGGTGAAAGAGGAGCTAGTAACAGAAGGCATCTGAGTGGTGAAATATGGAGGAGGGGGGCAGCAGGGGGTCTTGGTGAATGGCTTCCATTTTTTCAGTGAGACAAGATCCTCAGCTGAGAGGGTGGTGGGGATGGGAAATCATGGGAGGCTTGAGGAGGGATGTGTAAAGGCTTGGAAAAGCCACTTTGCTGAGTGGGATAGTGGTCAATCAAGAGGTGTAAAAGAATTGCCTTGCCACATTGAGGGTCTGTTTGAAATTATTTAACATAAATTTGTAGTCATGGTTTCATGTTTTTCTCCATATTTATTAAGGCAGCACATAGTAGGAGTAATCCAAGGCTGAGGCTTGGCAGGGCAAGAGACTCGAGATAAGAGGACAGTGTAGAATTGGACCTGGCCCCGACGACTCACATATTCTCACCCCATCCTTTCTCTATCCCGGTGACTGAGCCACCAGTGTTCAAATCTCGTTTCTGGTCACCTACTCACTTATTCATATCCCCTGTGACCCTTGTGTCAGGGTGGAGAGATACTGATAGTACAGGGATGATGGGAAAGAACCTGGAGCTGGAAACATTGGAGGAGATACTGAGGTTGAAGAATAAGGTTAGAGGTTGTGAGGGAGAGGAAAAATGACAACGGACATTGGTCAGACAAGGGAATTTCAGAGTTCCCAAACGTGGGAGTGCTGCGTTTGTGGGCAATGGGAAGATCTCAGGGATGACCATCTTTGTGTGGGACTGAGGTATGGTGGAAGAGTAGGTCATGGGAAATGAGGAAGTTGAGATAACCTGGAGCTAAGGGCGTGTGAGGGAGTATGTATGTATGTATGTATGTACGTACGTATGTTGAAGTCCTCTAAAATGAGGGCAGGAGTTGGGGAGGGGAGGGAGAGATTGTTCGAGGCGCTGAACTCATTGTAGAAGTGAGAATATCCTGATGGTGAGTAGACAGTGTCCATCAGAATCTTGATCGAGTGATAAGTATGGATTGACTGAACCTCAAAGTGGTCGAGGGGATTGAGTGATTGAGTAATGAGGTTAGGAGGAGCGCCTAGAGGGGGCAGAGGGGCATGTGGAGTATTCCAGCTTCTCCATCCCCACCAGCAAGTTGAAGTGTATGAGGGAAGTCCAGCTAGGGCTGGAAGGAAGGCCCGGGTAGCTGTGTCATCAGCAGGGCGCAGATCTTAATGCATGCAAGAAGATGAAAGGAGTGAGAAAGGAAAAGGTTTAAAATGAAAGTAAGTCTGTTGCCCCAGGAGCAGACATTCCGGAGGGTGCAGTGGAAGGGCTGGTGGAGAGCTTTTAAGGGGACATGGTGGGTGTAGGTTTAAGGGGGGATGCCAAAAGCAGGGTTTGAGCAGTGGCAGCCAGTAGTGCAGAATCATTGGGGTGGAGGAAGGAAGGCTGGGGTGGCAGGATGTTAATCAGACACAGGGAGTTTTAGGTGGTCAGAGAGCACACTCAGAGGAGAGTGGAATGGCTGCTATGGGAGTCCAAAATCTATTGATTTGAAAGATCTGAGCTGTTTAGTTAACATCCTGACATCCCAAGAAGGAAAAAAACTCCTGTGCTCCAGCACAATTAACCTTCCCCTCTGTCTTCTCAGAAGCTCATTGAGATCACTAGGTCAGTTACATTTCTGTTTCTTCCAGCCTCTGCTGATGGCACACCCTCCTACCCACCCCCACCCCCTTGGATGGTCTTTATTAGTTGCTATGACAGAGAAATTCGTCTCCTGGTGACTCGCCTAGCAAGGAGCTTCTCGTCCTTGTGAGGCAGGGCCTTGGGCTATAGGCACACTGCCTGTCTCAGGAGCTGCACGTGCAACTATCCAGCTTGGCAGGCCGTGCCAGAGCTTGGGATGCACTTGGAAAACTTTTGAGAGCCTGTGGTCATTTCCATGCCAGGCTGCAGCAGAGGAGGGTTTCAAGGCAGTAATAATAATCCTAATACTGCAAGGAGCCCAGGTTTCTTCCCTCCATGCCTTAGGTAGCTGGTCGTGGTGCTTAGGCCCCTGTTCAAGGCTTTTGGGCTTCATCCTGCCCTGGTAGGACGTTAGCAAACTCCTCCTTGTCTGCTGAGGCTTTTCAGAGCCCGAGCTCACATTCAAACCACAGGCATGGGATGTGGGGCCTGGAAGAGACCTTGGAGGTCCTTGAATCCTTATTTTACAGATGAGGAAACAGTCCAAGAGAACAAAGTGACTTGCTCAGCATCACTCAGGTAATAAATGACAAAGCTGGCATTTAAATTTGGGTCCTCTGACTCCAGGTTCTGTTCAGCAAGTCAGTAAATTAGCAAGAATTTCATTAGCATTTCTACATGCTAGCGGCTGTGTGTTCAGGCATAAAGACTGAAACGATTCCAACTCCAAAGGAGCTTACCTTGTGGCAGGAGAGAAGCACAAATCTAAGCATGGACAGAATAAACACCAGGTAGGGGAAGGAAAACCCACCCTTGCCATTCTGGAAAAGGAAACAGACTTCTTATAGACCAAAAGTTGGTTCTTAGCCTAGATTTCGGGGGGTCTGTGAACTTGGATGGGGAAAAAGAAAAGTCCCCTTTATTTTCATTGCCCTGTAACTGAAATTGAGCATTTCTTTCAGATATTTAAAAACATGATTCTGAGACAAGTTCCCCAGGCTTCACTGTCTGAGGGGCTCATGACTTACAGAAAGGCCTCTTGTTGAAGGTGGCACTTGAGTTGAGTTTTTAAGGAAGAGCAGGATTCTGTGATGTGGAGAGGAGGGAGGGCATTCCAGGCAAGGGGCAGCCTGCCAGTGCAAAGCCCTGGAGGCAGGAGATGGAGGGCCCTGAGCAAGGAGCAGAGAAGCTCCATCTGTCTGCATCATGGGGCATGGGGGAGTGATCAGTGAGGCTGGAATGAGAACTTTTTTAAAACAAAGATTTCTTAAGTGTCAGCTGTGTGCAGGACCTGGAGCTGGGCCCTACTGCGACACACTGCCTCCTGATGATGGCTCTGGTATCAGTGGCAACGTGAGATTCCCCATTGGGAAGCTCTTGAGGAGTATGAAGTTGTTCTGTTATGTCATATGTGCTCACATTTGACTGGTGATACCACCTTTAAGTTTGGAGTTAAATTTGAGAACAGTGCCTTGGAATATAAGGAAATGAAAAAAATTATTGAGGACCAAAGCACCATGTGTCTTTTTAGACCTGACCTGTGGTTTCATTGGGGTGGGGATGTACCCACGAGGAAATTCCTCTGCAGGTTCAGAGTGCCTCCCCACCCCCCATGGCCAGCCTTAGCGAGTAGCCTAGGGCACTGAGAGGAGAGACTTGCCCAAGGTCACAACCAGCAAGACTGGGGCCTAGGTCTTCTGACTTGGAAGCCAGCTCCCAGGCTGCTGCACCCCACTGACCCATCTTGTGTCATATATGGCACAACACGGACATTTGGTAGTAGAAGAGAGGAAATAATTCACGTTTTCATGGCACTCTAAGGAGGCCCAGGCTCCCAGCAATAGGAAGGGGCAGGACCAGAATTGAAACCCAGATCTCTCCGGACCCCAGTGGCCCCCTTGCCACTAACTGCATCATAGAGCTGTGGCAGATGTAGCTACTAGATGTGGGAATGTGCTCCAAAGCTTACGCTGCTGTCAATGAAACATTCAGAGTTCAGTAACCTAATTCTAATGAAGTGTAATTGTTTTTGTCTTTACAGAAAAAGCAAACAACTTTCCTCCACTGCCAAAGTTTATCCCTCTGAAGCCCTGCTTCTACCAGAACTTTTCTGATGAGATTCCAATAGACCACCAGTTTATCGTGAAAAGGATTTACCATTTATGGATCTGTAAGCATTTATTGGAACCATTGCAAGGAAACCCTGATGGGATAAGTAGGAAGAACTGTGAACTGCATCTGTTTGGTTTAAAAGAACTGCTTTAAACCATGTGAAATGACATAGTTAAGGGTTAGGAATATTACAGAGCTGGGAGAGTTCTTAGAACATAGACTGTCAGAACTGGGGGTGAGGGGGAACCTTAGAGCTTTGAAGAATAGAGCTGGGGGGGCCTTTGGACCCCAGACTATTGGAACTGGGAGGGCACTTAAAGATAGTTTGATAAATGAGTAAACGGGACAGTCACCTGGAAGGCTTATTCATTCATTCATTCATTCATTCACTCAGTCATTCACTTATTCACTTATTTATATGTTTAGGGCCTAGAAGGCAGAACTAGCAGCAGGAGGCAGTTCTAGGTTGTCTGGAAAACCTTCCTAAGCAGAACTTTCCATATGTGGAGTGGGTTGCCGTAGGAGGTAGTGAGTTCTCCCTCCTTGGGGGGGTTTCAAGCAGAGGCTAGAGGACCATTTGTCCAGTATGCTTTAAAAATTATTTTTCAGATGAGGATTCAGTTCAGTTCAACCGACATTGATTAAGTGTTTCCTGTGTGCCCTCAGGCACCATGCCAGGTGCTAGGGATACAAGACAAAAGGGAAACAATTGGAGAACTTCGATTCTACTGGAGAGAGAAAAAGAGAACATGCAGACAGAGCAGTGGACCCAACATAGACATTCAGGAGCTTTAGATAAATTGTGCCTCGGTAACTGAGGACGTGAGCAAAGTCCTTGTGCCGCAGGAGGCCCCTGGCTGGGGCTTGTGGATGTTGGGAGACCAGGGGCTACAGGCTTAACATTGAGGGCCCCATATGCCAGGAGAGCTTGGCAGGAGATTGTGTGGTGAGGACACAGTACTGCTAGGCTTAGGCTGGCCGGCATCTGAAGGGGAGAAAGGAAAATTGTATGGACGAGGACTGGAAGGTGAGTGGGGACTACCTTGGGAAAGGTTTTACATGCCAGGCTGAGGTGTTCAGGCTTTATCTTAGAGGCACTAGAGAGCCCTGATGTTGTTTGAGGAGGGAAGTGACACAGTCTGAGCCTGGAAGCAGGACGGCCTGTCAGGCACAAGTCCCCATAAGAGGTAATGATGGCCTGAGCCATGGGGGAGGAGTCGTGCATGGGGCCAGGGGTGGGGAGTGGTTAGAGGTGCTGTGAGGGTAGAGTCTACAAAAGTCGACAGCAGATGGGCTAGGAGTGAGGTGGGAGAGGCAGGGGACAGAAGCAAGGTTGTGAACCTGGATGACTACAAAGGTTTCTTTTCTTTTCTTTTCTTTTTTTCCTTGGGGAAGGGGGAAGAGGTTCAGATTTCTGTTTTAGATATATTGGATTTGAGATACCTATAGGGCATCTACCTGGAGATATCAAACCAGCAGTTGATAGTATCAGAGAGGAGCTTAGGAGACCCAGTAGGGCTGGATAGATAGATCTGGGAATCATCTGCCTAGAAGTGATCATTGAATCAATGAGCGATGATGAAATCACCAAAGGAGAAAGTGTAGAGAGAGAAGAAAGGCTGGTCCAGGACTTTGGGGCATGTCACCCTTGTTGGGAGGGTGAAAGATGATGTTTCACCAAAGGAGACTGAGAGGGGAGTGTCCAGGTAGGGATGGAGAGATCTAAGAGGACGCAAACCCAGGGCAGAGAGTGTCCAGGAGCAGGGAGGGGGTGTTGGGATTGACCTGAGGTTGTGAAGGGATACCAGCCTTGGAAAGAGCATGCTCAGTGGAGGGATAGGATCAAAAGCAAGTCTGCCAAGGGGTTGCAAAGTGAGGAGGATGTCAGGAATGGGAGGCAACAAGTGTTTCTAGGTGTCTGGCTCAGGAGAGGGAGCCCAAATATAGGATGATAGCCTGAGTGGGCAGCAAGGTCAAGTGAAGATTTTTTTTTTTAATGGGGAAAGATTTTTGTGAACTGATGCAAAGTGAAGTAAGCAGAACCAGGAAAACAATGTACATAGGTGTCTACAGTCGTGTAAAGGGAAGCTATAAAGAAACAAACCCAGGCTAGACAGAAGTGCCCTGCATCGCGAGGTACGATGGTCCAGTTTGGCCCCAGAGAAGAGAACGGAAGGCGTGCCCCACACACGTACCCTTTTCACAGAAGTGAAGGACTGTGGGTTAAAAACATTGCTTACATTGGTTTGACTGTCAAAATGAGAGAGAGAGATTTGGAAATGAATGTGATAGAAAAAACAAAAGATGTCAGTTCATTTTCAAAAGAAGGATGGGAAGTCCCTGGCACGTTTGTAAGTGGCTGGGAAGGAACCTGTGAATAAGGAAAGATTGAAGGTGAGAGAGACAAGAGGAGACCAGGAGAGGCGGGTACAAACCAGGTCACAAGAAGAGCGGCTTGGCCTTGGTAAGAAGGAGAAGGGGCCACCTCTTTGTCAGAAGTTGAATGTGAGGAGGAGAGAAGGGAGGGGTCAGCCAGAGTGATTTTGACATAAGAACTCAAGGAGAAGAAGGAACCTGCTCCAGAGAGTCTTTGGGGCTGGATCCTGCGGCTCCCCCATACCCCACCCCCAATCCCATTCAGTCCTGTCGTCACTGAACAACGCTCCTTCTCTCAGGCATCGCTGCCATCTGGCCCTTGCTGGTCCTGCTGCAGTAGCCCGCTTCAGGCCTTGTCTTTATTTGGCCTTGGACTCCCTCGCCACCTGCTCTCCCTGCTGCTTCCTCTCTCCCTCCTCCAGGTGGTCCTGTACAAGTTCACTGGTTCGTCTCGCTAAAGTGAACCATGATCAGGCCCCTCAGACATCTACCTGATTTTCTGCTGCCATAAACCTGCTGGGCCTCTTCCCAGGACTCCCTAACCCACTCCCATTTACATGGTGCTTTGGAGCCCACGAAGCGCTCACTCGTCTCACAACAGCGCGGCTGCCACTGGCATTGGGCTCCAGGCAAATGGAGCCCCCTGCACCTAGGCCCAAAACCCTGCGCAGCCTCCCCCCATTCTCTGCCTGTTGAGATTCTTACCCGTCACTCAAGGGCCCTTTCCTCTCTGAAGCTTCCCTGATCACTCAAGCTGGAAATAACACACTCAGGCCTTCTCCCTGGGGTTTCCTACTGGGGTTGGGGTAACGTGTCCAGGAACCTGAGCCTCTGGTTGTGTCATTCAAGGCCTGGCTAATTCACCTTTAATACACCTCAGACATTCGACTTTCAATGCTGGTCTTAAATGGCAGGTGTTTGCAGTTTAACAGTTGATTGGCTCTGACATCCAGGTGGCAGAGCATTTGTTCTATATGTCAGGTTTTAGTGCAAGTTCCTTTTATAATGTGCATCTCTGAATTGTCAGCCCCAAAGATGTCACGAGGGGATAGCTCTTAAGAAAGTCTTGTCCTAGAATGTGGGATAAAAACTGAACCTGTGGTTTCCCTGACAGAAACTCATGGTTAAGGAGACGCCCTCTGCAGGGTGACAGCTTCTGAAAATTATCGTTTTGGAGAGTTGCCTAGAGCATTGAGAGGATAGGTGACCTACCCAGGGTCACCCCAGTCACCTTGTGTGTCTGAGAGGGGATTCAAACCCAGGCCTTCCTGACATGGAGCCCAGCTCTCTATCCCGTGTGCCAGGCAGTGTGCTGTGTAGTATGTTGTACTAGGGAGCTAGATTGCCACTCTGGTCTGTCCTCTGGAGATCGGGAGACTTGGGGGTCTGTGTGTGGAGCAAACATGCACAGATCTAAAGGATCGTAGGTCCAGTTCTGGGGACAGTTGGGGAACAACAGCTCTGGTGGGCCCCTCTCCATGATCTGGCACCTAGGGAGGTGGCTGGTTTTATAGGATCACACTCTTAAAGGCCAAAGGCACCTCAGAGACCATCTTGTCCAATTCCCTCATTTTACAGATGAGGAAACTGAGCCCCAGAGAGGTTAAGGTCACAAAGGTCATAAACATGCTTTCTGACCCCAGAGCCAGGGCTTTTTCCCCTGTACCCCACTACCTCCTAAACTGAATGTACAGCATAAATCTCAGCTATTTGTATTAAGTGAAAGTTCTGTAGGTCTGTGATTTTCCTGCATAAAGCATCACACACACCTACACACACACACACCTCTACACACACCTCTGCACACCCCGACAACATCCCTAGCTGGAGGTTGCTTCTCATTGCTACTTTCTGCGTACACCTGCCGTCCAGTGCTTTGACAAGAGAGCTGGAGGCCAGGGTGTGAGGGCAAGGGAGCTGGACTCCAAGTCAACCACGGGATCCTGGTTTGATGCCTCCCCACTGCATCCCTCTGTTTGCCCATCTGCAAAGTGGGCACCATTATCCCCAAGCTGCCTAGTCAGGGTCAGGGGAGGTGGCAGCAGGGGCACATCCATCTCAAAACAGAGAGCCAGGAAGGAGCAGACAATCTACAGAAAGGGTTAGGGAGGGATAAGCGTCCAGCACTCCCTGCCAAGGGAAAGTAGTGGAGCCGTGGGTCAGTCTGAGAAGGTGAAAAGGGGTTGTTAGGAGCAGAAGAGAGGACCAGGTATGGTATCTGCTGCTGTATCTGGAAATGGGCCGACGGGACATGGGGGTGTTGTGCTGGTAGGAGGAGAGATGGCACATTCAGTGCAGGCTGGAGTGAAGCCAGCTTTGGTAGCTGCTCACAATCTGGGACGGTTGCATTTTGGGATAATTTTAAAAGCGGGGCATTTCCTATTATAGTCTCCTGTTTGAGGAACACATCGCCCACATGGAGATCTCCAATGGGATACTTTTCCCCCTGCAGTGTTTGTTTTTTTTTTTTTTAAAGATTGGGTTTTCCTCTCTTACCTAGGCTAGAGGTGCAGCAGCTCCTTCCCAGGTCTGATCCCAGTACTGATTAGCACAGAAGCTTGAAGCTACTCCATTTTTCTGAGCTGAGCCAGGCTACCTTTCCTTCTCTCTCCTCTGTGGGGGCTCACTATGTGGTACTGGACTTAGTAAAGAACCTAGATGGGCAGTAGCCCTCCTGCAGCTCCGGTCTTATCCCTGTACTATTTTTCTTCTGGTCATTTAAAAAAAAAGTTTTAGTAATTCTTTTTTTGCTTAATGTCTCATGACTACCCACTGACCTGTTTTCAACTCTCCCCAAGTAAGCATTCTTCATTGGGACGTTTCTGAAAAGGAACAGTTCAGGAATTTTGACCCTGGTCTAATTTTTTCATATTCAATAACTAGTGTTTATAGAGTGCTTTAAGATTTATAAAGCACTGTAATGTGAGATCTCATTTTAATCCTCACAACAACCCTAGACGCTATTTTTAGACCCATTTTACAGATGAGGAAGCTGAGACCGAGAGCGGTTGAGTAACTTCCCAAGGGTCATATAGCTAGCAAATGTCTGATGCAGGATTTGAATAAGTCTATACAGGATATAGAGAAAACAACTACAAGGTAATTTGGGATGAGAGCTCACTAGGAGTTGGGGAGAACAGAAAAGGCTCCATGTAGAAGGCAGTGCTGGAGCTGAGGAGGGAGTGCATTCTTGGCATGGGATACAGCCAGTGCAAAAGCACAGAGATGAGAGTCAACAAGTCATACAGAATAGAGCAGAAAGAAGTACAGTTTGGTTCTCTGTGGAGTGTGGGAAGGGAGGTTAGAAAGGCTGGCTGGGGCCATATTGTCGAGGGCTTTAAAATGCCAGACACAGAAGCTGATATTTTATTGTAGTTGTGTTTGGGAGCCCCTGGAATCTGTTCAGCTGGGGATGTGGAAGAGGGGTTGGGAAGGAAGGCCAGTTAGGAGGCTGCTGCTCTGGCCTTGGTCAGAGGTGTGGCTGTGTGAGGAGATGGAGCAATTAGGTGTAAATGATGCTGTGGAGGGGATGTGGAGGGTGAGTCAGAATGAGGAGTCGGGTGTAGAGCTGGGAGACCAAGCAGAGGCAGCCTTGTTTTCTCAGTAAAGTCTAAGGCTTGGTCCTCAGCTGAGTGTGGGGGAAGGGTGCAGGTGAGCAGTGGGTGTGTGACGCCTGAAGAGAGGCTTGGAACAGCCTTGTGGGGAGTGGGCCACAGCTGCTCTTAGGGTAAATCGTGGCGGAGCAGCCTGCTGCAGTGAGGGGCCGGTCAGTGGGCTCAGGCTGCTCAGTTCCAGAAAGCTCTCATCAGCCCCATGGGTGAGGAGGGGAGGAAGCGGATGGTGGGCAGGGGGCCCCAGCGGGGACTGGGTGAGGCCTGAACCAGCAATAGGATGAGGGAGGGGCTGGAGTGCTCTTGGTGAGCCTGAGGCCTGTACTTCTCTGTTTTCTTCATCTAGTTTACTGTATCACCCTCGTGGTGAATCTCGTTGCCTGCCTCGCTTGGTGGATTGCCGGTGGTGATGGAGTGAACTTTGGCCTAGCAGTGCTTTGGCTGCTTCTCTTCAGTCCCTGCAGCTATGTGTGCTGGTTCCGGCCTGCCTACAAAGCCTTCAGGTAACACAGAAACCTTTTTTTCCTTCGTGAATTTTTGGCCCCTCATTATTCCATAGGATCATAGAGTTTTAGAGCCAGAAGGGACCCAAGCAGAGGGTGTAGAGAGAAACCTCGGAGTAGAGGATGTTAGTGCCAAAAAGAAATGCAGAGCATGAAAACTTAAGCTGAGCTGGAAGAGATGTTATAGCACAGAGCAAAACTTGACAGGCCCATAATGGAATATGAAAACACAGACTGTCAGAGCCAGAAACTACTTCATATCCTAGAGCATCGGAAATAAACGGGATCTTAGAAGGGAGATCTAAAGAGGATCGCCACAAGGGCTGCTGGAGACTGTCTAGGCCATTCTTATCATTTTACATTTGGAAAAGATTTGGAAAAACCGAGGCCCAGATTGGGACAGGCACAGACTGAGTTAGTGGCAGAGTTGGGGCTAAAACCCAGGTCTGATCCCATATCTGTGTTCTTTCCACTGAATTAGATGACAGACAGTTCAAAACAAGGCTTGCTGTAAACATTTCTGAGCCAGATTGACAAGAAAGAGAATTTCTAATGATTTAAGGCAATTATCAAGTGGCAGCCAGGTGGCCCAGTGGATAGAGAGCCGGGCCTGGAGTCAGGAAGACCTGAGTTCAAATACGGCCTCAGACGCTGATCCAGGGCAAATCACTTCACCCTGTTTGCCTCAGTTTCCTCATCTGTAAAATGAACTGGAGAAGTAAATGGCAAACCACTCCAGGATCTTTGCCAGGAAAACCCCAAATGGGGTCATGAGGAGGTAGACATGACTGAAACAACTGAACAACAGTCAATCAACAAACATTAATAAGTGCCTGCTATGTATCAGGGACTGCTATCCTTTATATCGACAGAAGGTTACAGGCTCAGCTTGTCATAACCATAAGATGTAGAATCAGCATTGGAAGGAACCTTAAATCTAGTTCATTCTCCTCTTTTTATAAATGAGGAAACTGAGGCTTATGGTCACACTGGAAGGGAGAGAGTCAAGATTTGAACCCGTATCCTCTGACTCTGAATCTGCTGTTCTTTCCCTCATCCTCATCATCATAGCAGCTAACAGTTAGATAGCATTTACTGGGGCCAGGTGCTTTGCTAAGGGCAGGTGTACCAAAAGAGGCTAAAGACAGTCTCGCAGTGTAATGGAGGAGACAATAAGGAGACAGATACATGCAGAGTAAGCTCTGTGCAGGAAGCCAGGGAGGTCGTGGTTGGAACAGAGGAGGAAGAGTGCTCCAGGCTCGGGGGACAGCCAGAGAGAAATGCCAGATCCAAGGGGAGGGAGGGGTTTTGTTGGTAGAACAGCCAGGAGGCCAGGGCCACTGGATCGAAGAGTGCGTGTCAGAAGGCCGGGACGGTAGGAGGGGGCTGGGCCAGGAAGGATTGTAGCAGAGAGGGACCTAGCAAACGAGTCTCAGGATCATAGAGCTAAGACTGGACGGGACCTCTGAGACCATCTGGTCCAGATGAAGGCCCTGTGGGGTTAGTGGATTTGTCTAAGTCACACAGGTAGTAAGCATCAGAGATGGGATCTCTCCATCCCTCATTAGAATATAAGCTCCTTCAGGACCTGGGCCATTTAGTTTTTGCCTATGTCATCAATGCCTATAAACCATCACTGAGTTAGGGGGATGTCCACCTCCAGCGTGTGAAGACCTCCCCTGGCAGAATGGGCAGATGAGAACAGTGTGCCCCAGTGTCCTGAAGCGGGCACTGTGGGGCCTTGAGCTTGATCAGACATCGAAGATGCCAAGGTCATTATCCACTACATCCCAGCCATCCCCAGTCATCTTGACTTTTGTCCTGCCACTAGACGTCGATGACTCTGGAAGAAATGACTTTGTGCAACTCTGCCTCACTGAAATCCAATTCCCCCATGAGTCAAGAGGCTACCCTCTGATATCACTGGTCTTCTTCAGAAACGAAGGAGAAAAAACAATGTCTCCATTGCCTAGCACAGTGCCCCAGCATATAGTAGGGAAGAGAAAGAGGAAAGGAATATGCAATTATGTCACTCCTACTTTGTGCCAGGCATTGTGCTAGTTGCTTTATAAATATGATCTCATGTGATCCTTGAAACAACCCTGAGAGGTAGGTGTTATTGCCATTTTACAGTTCAAGATACTGAGGCAACAGGGGTTAAGTGACTTGCCCGGGGTCACATAGCTAGGAAGGGTCCAAGTCTAGATTTGAATTCAGGTCTTCCTGCTCTCTCCACTATGCCCCCGGCTACCTCTATTAGTAGGAAGGTAATAAATGTTGAATAAATTAAATTGAATTAAACAAACATTTATTATGTATGTATGTGCCTCCACAGCTATCTTGCCAAAATGACATATGACACGGTCATGACACATGACCCTTATTTTTTAGAGTTATATGAGCAGAGCCCACGTTCTGGAAGGTTCTACCAAGTTAGACAGCCTTTTGAGTGTGGGTCAGGTGAAGAGCATGGGGGTCTGCTGTTTTGAAGGCTAGCTTTGCAGAGCTTGGAGACACTGATCACCTGGCTGGCCCCAGGATGATGCCTTTCTTGGCTACGGCCCCTCAAAGATACCTCCTGGGAAAGAAGGAGGTGACTCTCTGTATAGGGGAGGGCGCCTCCACACTGGAGGGAAGCAAGATCACAAATCAAAGAGAGCTCGCAGTGTGCATATTACTGGGCTTGGCAGTGAGCCAAATAGAAGTATCATGAGCTCATCTGATAACGCAACACCCAGATCTTTGGTGTCACTGATTGTTAGAGCTAGGAGGGCCTCTCAGGATCATCTAGTCCAGGCCTGCACAACATAAGGCCCACAGGCCCCAAGGCCTGCCAAAGGATTTCAGGCAGCCTGTGAAAAATGTAGGCTTGCCCCTGCACACTCACCTGTTTGTCACGTGACCCTCAGCAACCAACCATCATCAGTCTGTCTCTAGTCTAACCTGTCTGCAGCCTAAAGAAGGTTACCCTATTTTAATTTTGGCCCCTACCTACTGCCAAGTTGTGCAGGTCTGATCTAGTCCAATCCCTTTGTTTTACAGATCAGGAAAGAGAAAACTGAGGCCCAGGGTTATTGATCTTAGAGGCAGGAAATAACAGAACTGAGATTCAAGTTAAGTCATCAAGCATATTAAGTACCATCTATGTGGCATCCACCATGCTAAGCACTGGGCATACAATGAAATTATGGGATCTTCCCTCAAGGAGCTCACATTTTAATGGGAGAACTAACATGCAAACAACTCTGTTTACATACAAGCTACATACAAGATGAATTAGTTAATCTCAAGTGGAAGACACTGACATTAAGAGGGATTGAGACAGGCTTTGTGTTACAGGCACAGTTTGATCTGAGTCTTGAAGGAAACTGGGGAAATGAAGGAGGCAGAGGGGAGGAAGGGGACAGTTCTGGCATGAGGGACAGTAAAAACCCTCAGTTGTGTGAGGAAGAGTGAGGAGGCCAGTGTCACTGGATCACCGAGTATGTGTAGGACGGCTGAGGTTCCGGAAGGAGACTGGGAGGAAGGGCTCTAAGAGCCCAATAAAGGATGTTATATTTGAGTTAGGACCCTGTGTGTTTATTAAGTGGCGGAGGGGTGGATCAGACCTGTGCCTTAAGAACATCATTTTGATGGATGAGTGGAGGATGACCTGGAGGGGGAAGAGACTAGAGTATTCTCACTAATAGAGTGGCAGAGGAGAGAGGGGGCTGTGTACAGGAGAGATTAGGAAGGGAAAATCATTACAACTTGGCAGCTTGTTGGACGTGAGCGGTGAGAGAATGAGGAGGAGGGGGTCCCTGGAAGGATGGTGGTACTTGGCACAGTCCCATCGAATTTAGGAAGAGGGAGGATTTTGGAGAAAAGATGATGAGTTCCGTTTTGGACATGTTGGATTTAAGCTATCTACAGGCCATCCATTTCACAATCTCCAGCAGGCAATTGATGATGCTACACTAGAAGAGAGAAGTTGACTGTGGATCTGGTTCCTGTCCTCATGGAGCTCACAGTCTAGTAGGGAGAGACAACATAGAGAGCTATAAGACAAAATGATACATGAGAGGGGCAAAGTGTTGAATGATCTTTTGGGAGAAGGATCATTATTGGATGGGGGGGATCAAGGAAGGCTTCAGGGAAGAAGTAATACATTAACCAGACTTCAGAGAAGGATCAGGATTTCAGCAGATGGACATGAAGTAGGGGAAAGACTTTCCCATTGTGGGGAACTATATGGGCACAGAGGCTTGAGGAACGGGCAGGGACAGCAAGGATCATGTCTGAGGAACAGCAGGCAGCCTGCTTTGGCTTGTAGCTTAGCTACAAGCAGAAGGATTATAATGACTGAGGGGGCCACTAAGTAATGGGTAATGGAGGCCCAGGTTCAAACTTGATTCAACAGGCAATGGGAAGTCATTGAAGATTCCCTAATACACAATATCAAGAATCATTTCCTGGTTCAGTCATTTTGGACTGTCCGGGGAGATACAACTTAGAATACGTAGCATTGTTGTGCTTTGTGAGGAAATCATTGGACTTGGAGCCAAAAGACCCAAGTTCAGATCCCAGCTACCCTACTGACAAGCTGAGTGACTGTGAGCTAGAGTGGAGACGTGAATACTGGTCCAGCCAGGGTCTGTAGGTGGTTGTGAAGAACAAAGAGGAGAATATCTTTGTCGAGTAAATATCTTTGTAAATAACTAGTGGGAGGTTTTATTGCTGCTGCTCTTGGATGGGGTTATCGGGAAATGGCAGGATGGACGTGTTTTTCTCCAGTTTGATGGATATGAGCTAACAGGTAACTTAGTAACAGAGCTGAGGGAGATCCTTCTTGCCAAAGTCCAACACCATTTTAGGTAGAGCATACAATACTGGCAAGTCGAGAATCTTAGAATTTAAGAGCTAGCAGGAATTTGGGGGAGCATTTATTCAAATATCAGCATTGTGCAGAGGATGAAACTGAGCCATGAAGGTCTAAGTTGACTTTCTTTTATGGGCTGGTTGTTTTCCAGAGCTGAAAGGTAGCCTTGCAGACATGGCCCTTTGCTGGAAGCACTCAGGTCTTTCCTCCCATGGCGACAGGGATTCCTAACCATCTTTATATCCTGCTGAAACCTGTGGAGCCCTTCTCAGAGTTATGTTGTTAAATCCAGAAAATAAAATGCAGAGGATTACAAAGGAAGCCACTTCTATTGAAATAGTTATCAAAATATTTATTTTGTTTTAGAAGTTCATGGACCTCTAGACTCAGTTAAGGTCCTTGAAGGCAGAGCGTCGTTCGCATCATTTTGTGCACACACACCTCCCCTCCTCGCCCATTCTTTTGTAGAGTCTAGGGAGGCATGAGTGTGTAATATTGAATGTAATATTAGATTTTTTTTAATGTATTGGTCCATTTTGCTGAATTTTTATTTTTACTTTTTAAATTCTTGTTTAAAAGGGATGACTTTCTGGGCAAGGGAGGGATACAGGTCAAAATTTAGGCCATAAAAAACCAAAAATTTCAATACATATCAGCTTTAGGGGAAAAAAAAAAGCTGTCGTATTGTCCTCATTGCCACGTACCAGAACTTGGACATAATAGGTGCTTAATAAGTGTTGAGTAAGTGATTGAATAAATAAATTAATGAATTAGAAAGCGTTCTTTAGAGAAAGAGACGTCAATGATTATTGACTTAATCTGTAATTAGAACAGTCTAGTTTTTCATCTCATCGCTGATGTTACTCTTGCTGCAATCGAGCAGATATTTATTAAGCACCTACTGTGTACAAGGCATTATGCTAGTTGCTGGAGATAGGACAAAAATGAAAAGCATCCTAGGAGATCCGACTTCTTTCCTCCCTGCACAAATCCTGCTTCTCTAGCAGTTTACCCCTCATATCATTCCCCTTTCTTACTAAGCTTTCATTTCTCCTCATCTCCCGGCTGCTTCTTTAATGCCTAACAAAGACAAGCATGTCTCCCCCATTCTCAAAAAGCCCTCCTTTGATCCATCCATCCCCGGTAGCTGTCATCCTCTCTCCCCTCCATTTTGTAACTATACTCCTTGAGAAGATGTTGGCAACTTCTTTTCCTTTGATTCTTCTTAACCCTCAGTATTCCGGCTTCAGGCCTCATCATTCAATTGAAACGGCTTTCTCTAAAGCTACTAATGATTTCCTAGTAGTGAAATCTAATGACTTTTTATCAGTCCGCATCCTTCTTGACCACTCTGCATCCTTTGACTGTGGTGACCACCCTGTTCTCCTGGGTACCCTCCTCTTTCCAACTCTTTGGGGAACCTGACTCTCCTCCTCCCCAAATGCCGTATCACAGTTTTTCTTGGTGGATCATCCTGGTCATCCCAGCTGACCTCGAGTGTCCATCCGGGGCTCTCTTCTCCTTCTCATCCCTTTCATTTGGTGCTCTCATCATGGTTTCAGTTATCATTTGTATGTAGATGATTCTCAGATCTGTTTAGTCTGCCCCAGCCTCTCTCCTGCTCAGTTCCAAGGCAGAAAAGAGTGCTTGTGGTCACTCATAGACCAAAGCACAGGCCAAGAGAGGAGTAAACACTTCTCCTTAGATCATACCACCTTGGAAGAGCTGAGAACTTACAGGTCCCTAGAAGTATCTCTGAAAACAGCCGCACAAAACCCCTGAAGCTTGGAACAGTACATTCTCCACACTGGAAGCAGACCCTACCTTAACAAAGTAATTGGCTGGGATCATGAATAAACAAAGGTCCAAAAAAAGTCAGACCATAGAATCGTTCTTTGGTAACAAAGAAGATCAAAACATAAAACCAGAAGAAGACAACAAAGTCAAAGCTCCTACATCCAAAGCCTCCAAGAAAAATATGAATCGGTCCCAGGCCATGGAAGAGCTCAAAAAGAAGTTTGAGAAACAAGAAAGAGAAGTAGAGGAAAAACTGGGAAGAGAAATTAGAGTGATGCAAGAAAATTATGAAAAACAAGTCAACAGCTTGCTAAAGGAGACCCAGAAAAATACTGAAGAAAATAACCCCTTAAAAAATAGCCTAATCCAAGTGGCAAAAGAGGTCCAAAAAGCCAGCGAGGAGAAGAATGCCTTAAAAAGCAAAATTGGCCAAATGGAAAAGGAAGTCCAAAAGCTTACTGAAGAAAATGCTTCCTTAAAAATCAGAGTGGAGCAATTAGAAGCTAGTGACTTTATGAAAGAAGCTGTTCCTTTTCCCCTGTAATGCCAGTGCCTTCCCACTAAGATCTTCTCTAGTTTACCCTTATCTATCTTGTATATACACATTGTTGTTTACATCTTGTCTCCCCCATTAGTTTGTAAGCTCCCTGAGGACAGGGGCTGGTTTTGCCTTTCTTTGTAATTTCAGAATTGGGCATAGTTGATGAACATAGTAGGGCTTAATAAGTGCTTGTTGACTTGACTAATAGGACACATATTCTTTACAATGCTTGTCCAGAAACGTTACTCCCCGAGGACAGGGGCTTTTTTTGCCTTTTGCTTAGCATGTTTGATGGTACATAGTAGGTGCTTAATAAATGCTTGTTGACTTTCCTTGACTAATAGAACATACATATATACATACATATACACATACACATATACATATAGACTCTTTCAAATCCTTGTCTAGAACGTGCCTCTAAAATCATTCCTGTCCCTATTTGATGAATGTCTTAGGCAGTATATGTTCTGTCAAAACCTGGGCCTAAAGGATTGATGAAGCTGCATGTCCTTAATGATTTAAAGGGCCTGCTTATCCCTTTGTCACAGAGATTTGGAAAGGGGGCAGGGATGGGCTGAATGTACCAAGGCCTGCTCATGGGGAAATCTTGTAAAACTGCATCCAGAAGGGAGGGAGCTCTTTGGATTTGGACAAGTGTCTATTCCCTTGGGCTTTTGTTAGTGACCTGGGTGTGTCCCCATGGGAGGGACCCTGGAGAGCTTCACCTAGATATGCTTAGAGAAAGCTTGTGTATATTTAGTAAAAGGACTTCTTTTTTTTTTTTTTTTTTTTTTTTTTTTTATTTGCCTCACTGATTCAGTCTTTCCAGATAATGAATAGACATTTGGGACAGGTCTGCACCTGGCCAAAGGCAGTCTGTTTATTCATTTAGCAATCATTAACCACCTATTACGTGCAAAGGTTGGAGTTCCTTGTTGGGATACTGTAGTTACGTTTAAGAGCCACTTTCCCACACTAACAATGAAATAGTACCTCCGTTTTGCAGATAAGAAAATTGAGATTCTTAACTTTTTTCATGTCATGGAGCCCCTTTGGCACTGTAGTGAAGCCTGTAGATACCTTCTCAGAATGTTTCAAAATAACATAGATATGATTACAAAGGAAGCCAATTATATTGAAATACAGTAATCAGAATAATAAAAAACTAAGTTCATGGATTTAAGAACTCTAATAATAATAACTAGCATGCATGCATACATACATAAAGAGAGGGGAGGGAGGAGGGAACACTGTATGACTGAGACGATGCTAAGTGCTTTTCAAATACTATTTCATTTGATCTTCACAGCACCCTGGGAGGTAGGTGGTGTCACTATCCCCATTTTATTGTTGAGAAAACTGAAGCAGACAGAGGGTAAATGACTTGCCTCGAGTCTTCCTGACTCCAGGCCCAGCCTCCTATCCCCTGTGCCACCTCAGTGTCCTGCTAGTAAGGAGCCGAGTTCAGATTAGCATCTGGATCTGCCTTGAAGTCTGGGGCTCCATTTGCTACACTCTACTCTTGGATTGTGACATTGTGTGCTTCTCCAACCATTGATCTCTATAGCCCCTCTGATGCACAAACACAAAGGCCCCCCTACTCCACCAGGTCATCTTAGTTTCACCCCCTTGTTTTACAGATCAGGAAACTGAAGTTTTAAGTGACTGACTTGACAGTGCAAAGCTAACAGTAAAAAATAGTTGTTTGTCTTGTGTTCTCTTGCAGGGCTGACAGCTCTTTTAATTTTATGGCCTTCTTCTTCATCTTTGGTGCACAGTTTATCCTGACCATCTTTCAAGCAATCGGTTTCCCCAAATGGGGAGCATGGTAAGCAAAACTCTTCCAGGAACTTTTTGAACATTTGAATGATGGCATTCATTCCCTTCTGAGAGACTAGAAAAGGGAGGCCAAGATGGTGAGGAGTCCTGAAATCAGAATGATTAAAAGAAGTGGTAGTATTGAGCCCGGAAGAGAGGGACACTGGAGAACTGGAGTGGGCTTGTTCTCTGTGGCTCCAGGCCCCTTCCTTTCTTGTGGCGTCAGGGTTGGGGGCAATGTAGAGAAGACTAGGATTTATTTAAATGCTTTACTCACCACAGTTAGTTTTCATAGACAGCTATAGGATCCAGAGAGCTAAAATTCCCTTCTCTCCCAGAGATCCAGGAATGCATGTTCACTACTAGGGCTCCCAATTTCCTTTTCACATCCCTGCAACCCTCCCAGGCAGTGATCCTCCCTCTCACACAGTGGCCCAGGAGGCCCTGCCTCTCAGTGACATAGTTCTGTGCATGCTTAGGCCAAGCGCTGGGGAGCAGACCCCTTTATTGTTCTGGAAACAGTCTTATTGTATTTGTGTGTTTTGCCATTCGTTCTGCCTCATCAGATCCAACCCTCTGAAGGATGACTGGAAGGTCTTTTGATTTGGTCAGACCACAGTGGCAGGATTGTCTTTAATTCTAGGCGTGTGTGACCCTAGGCAAGTCATTTTTAACCTTTTTGTCTCAGTTTCCTCATCTGTAAAATGAGGATAATAGTAGCACCTCCTTCACAGGGTTATGGTGATGATCAAATGAGATAATATTTGTAAAACACTTAAAACAGTACCTGGCACATAGTAGGTGCTATATAAATGCTACCTGTTGTTATTGTTAATGGTGGTGTTGGTAGTAGTGGTGTTGGTAGAGGTAGAGGAAAAAAGAAAAGAAGAGAAAAGAAGAAGCTGCTGTCCCCAGTACTCCCAGCCCAACCCTTCCCCACTCCTTTTCTGTCCTCCAATTCCACCGGTCCTTGGGAATCATTAACAAACTCTCCTTCATCTTAGATTTCTTCCTCACATTCAGTCTGTCTTCTGTGCCCTCAGCACCTGGATCTTTCCAGATACTCTGTCCCATATCACCTCGCACCCCTAACCCCTCCCCTCCCCCAGTGCTAGGCCTTCTCTCCTCTCAAGGAGGAGCTAGTAGCTGCCAGAATCTTCCTCTGCCATCATCACTAGGAAACCATCATCTTTGAGATTCACTCTATCATCTCTGTCCCCCTATGCAGATGCTCTTGCTGAAATCTGCCAATGTACAGGTCACTTTCCTGACTTTCTGAAGGAGTTTCGTCCTTGTATCTTAGTTGTCTTATTCATCATACCTTTGCCCTCCTACTTGGAGACTTTAGTAGACTTCAGGAGACATCCTATCTCTGTTTTCCTTCCTCTCTGTGGCCTCCAGAGACTGTCCATCTTCCTCTGTTCTCTTGATCCATCCACCTCTTCTGCCCTCATTTGAGTCTCTGTATGGTTTTAACCTTGTAATTTGCCAGTCCGCTGAGCCCCTGTCCCTGTCCATTCTTCGATCCATGGTCACTCTCAGCATCTGCCTTCTCTGCTCCTACTCCCATACTGATGAGTGCCACAGGAGGAGGAAATCAGGAAGCCATGCCCTCTGGGTTCACTGCAGTTGGTATTATCTAATGCAGCGAGTCTCGTTGTTTCATGATAGTCTTTTTATTCTTCCATAACTGACGTCCCTATTCTCTACAGCAGCTGTTCTGTGCCATCAGGTGACTTTCAAGGGAAAATTAAGGCTGTGCTTTGTGAGTTCCCTCATCTCTGCTTCACACCTCAAAGACTCTTATCTCTTCACCCAGCTTTTTCTTCTTTCCTCGACTCTCTGACAAAGAAATGGGCCTGATGGTCAAGTCTAAGTCCTTTGCACCTACCCTTAATCTGCTTTCAGCCCTTCCAGTTTTTTCTGGGAGTTTAACCCAGGAATAATTCCTTCCTTCTTTTTGATCTCTGGTGTCTCTCTTTCTAATAGCACTCATCTTCCTGCCCACACACAAGTCCATGTCTCTACCATCCCTAAAAACCTTCCCATAATCCTGCGATCTCCTCAAGCCATGATCCTGTATCTGACCTCCCAGTTACTACCAGACTCCCAGAAAATGTCATCTCTTTCTCGCAGTGCTTCAGCATCTTCCCCATCTGTTCCCTCATCAATGTCTTTTTTTCTCCAGAGCAAAAGGCATTTAATTAAAACAGAATGGTAAGGCAAATACAAAGGAACCAAATCAAGGAGTAACCCAAATACGAATGCTTCCCCTCTCCCACGCCCTTCTGAGCGTCTGACACTGTGGCTCCCACCCCAGCCCTCTCCTGAAACTGCTCTCTTCAAACTGAACAATCATCTCTTAACCTGCTAAACTTTTCCCAGTGCTCATCCTCCTTGACCTCAGCAGCTCTGGACACTGTTGAACCCTCTCGCCTCCTGGACACTCTGGTGGTACCCTGCTACTTTTCCTCTGCCTCTCTGACTTCTTCTTGTGTGTCTCTTCTGCTACTTTATCACCCATCCTCTCATGCCCTGGCTTTGTCTGCTATGGCTTCTCATCAGCTCTCAGGGGTTCCATTTTCTCTTCAGTGATCCCTTCTCCTGAACTCCTGCCTGACATTGCCCATTGCCTGCTAGCCATCTCCAGCTGGACTTCTCTTCTGTACTTCAGAACTCAGCACCTTCCTCCTCCCAGTGTGCCTGCCGGTCTTGAGGGGACCACCCTCCTTCCATTTACTCAGTCTCCTAATCTAGGCATTATCCTTCAGCCCTGTATCCCCTCTGGAGATGGATTTAATATCTCCTGCGCCTGCAGCCTTCTCCCCATTTACAGCGTTGTCACTCAAGTTCAAGCCCTCCCCGCCCTTCACCTTGAGTGTCATGATAGCTCCCGGATTGTCTTCCCACTTCGAGGTTCTCTCATCTTCCACACAGCTACAGATACAATCTTCCAAAGTCAGGGGTCTGATCGTGTCATTCCCCTGCCCAAAAGTCTTCCAAAGGTCCCCATTGCCTGTAAAATAAAATCCAAACTCAGCCAGGTATTTAAGACATTCCACAGCCTGATTCCACCCCCACCCCCCAATCCAGCTTTATTTCACAGTTTGCATATCTGGTTCCAGAAAAACTGGAAGATTGACTGTTCCTGAAACAAATCATCTCCCACCTCTATTTATTTGCCTAAACTATGCCCTGTACCTGGAATGTGCTCCGTCTACTTCTCTGCCGCTCAGAATCCTTCTTATTCTTCAAGTCTTCACTCTGCTACCACCTCCTTCACAAAGCTTCCTTTCTTCCTTCTCCAGCTTTTCCACATTGTTCATATTTTCTCCCTCCTCATATCACCTTGCTTTTTCTCATTTGGGCAGCTGAAGCTTCCCTGCATGTGGGGGAGAATATAGGCTCCATGAAGGCAGGGGTGTTTGACTCTTTGTAGCCCAAGTGTCTAGGTCAGTGCTCTGTTGCAAGAGTTTTTTCCTCCCCCAAACTGAGAGACTGAGGAGGTAAGAAGGAAAGGTAAGATGGTTGCTAAAAGAAAGGAAAGAGAGACCTTGAAGCATTTTTTCAATGTACAGAAAAGGAGAGAAGCAAGCACAGATGGGTGGGATAACTCTGAAATGTACATACTGTAGCAAAGCAAGCCATACTGAAGAAAGATTTGTGGTTTCATGTCCTGTCCTCTCTATTCGGCTTTGTAGAAGAAAGCGCCCACTTATTTGGTGTTTAAGTTCAGAATTTTAAAATTTCTTTTAAGATAGCAGGTACTTAATTCATGTTGACAGTTTGAATTGAACCGAGCTAATCGATCAGTCTTGGGCTTCATTAAGCTTCCAGGAATAAGGAAGCGATGGTCCCCCGTCCATCCTCAGGCAGAGCACATCCTTGGTATTTATTGTGCTTAGCTCTGGGTGGACATTGAGAAGCCAAATTCATGACCACCCAAGTAATGAAATAGAAATGCATTGATTAGGTGCCGAAGATGGCCTGAGCCCTGGGCTCATCACAGGAGATCCAGCTAGAAAAGAGAGACCGTCCCTGCTCTCCTAGGGCTCTTGTTCTTAGCGGAGGACACAACCTGTAAAGGGGGATTCAGATTCACCCCATGGGGCCTCTCAGCTTCCTTCTAACTCTGAGAGTCTAAGACGCTCCGTTAGAGGTTGGCCAGTTAGCCTTGATCACCACCTGCTGTGTGCACGTCCTCACAGGCTGCCTTCTAGAAGCTGGGAAGATAAGCACACTGTGCTCTCATGCAAAAGTGAGGATGCTGCGGAATATGAAGGAAAAAGGGGGATTGGGAGAAGCCCAACTCCTGGTCAGGAAGAAGACCTCACAGAGGCCGGCTTGACAGGCAGTATTGTGAAGTGTTAGGAAAAAAAAAAAAAAGGGCAGGTGTCAGGAGGCCTGGGCTGGACATCAGCATCACCACTTCTGCTGCACCGATCGCCGTGGTACATCCTTTCCCTTTCTGGGCCTCAGTTCCTTGTCTGTGCCAGGAGGAACCAGCTGGGGCCTGGCCAGTGGGCCCCTTTTCAGCCGTAGCAAGTTCTGCAAGCCATCTTCCAAGTGGAAGAGGGATTCTTGTCTGCTTCAGTTTACTGATGTAATTGCAGCCTTATGAGGCACTGCAGTAAAAAAACTAGGAGTAATAGAGGCAGCTGGGTGGTGCAGCGGATAAGAGCTCTGGGCCTGGAGTCAGGAAGACCTGAATTCAAATCCAGTCTTAAACACTGACTAGCTGGGTGAATCTAGGCAAATCATTTCACCTTTGCCTGCCTCAGTTTCCTCAGCTGTAAAACGAGGGTAATAACAGCACCTACCTCGCAAGGTTCAAATGAGGTTATAATTATAAAGTGTTTAGCCCAGTTCCTGGCACATAGTAAGTGTTACATAAATGCCAGCTATCATTATTATTACTCCGAGGATAATTGTAAGGAAGGGACTATTTTTTAAAATAATTTCCCATAAACTTTTATATTTATAAAGAATGTTTGTAGAATATACTTTACT